GACAAGAGAAAAATGAGGAAGAAGCAAAACCAGAAACCCCTGATAAACCCATCAGATCTTGTGAGACTTATTCACTATCATGAGAACAGCACAGAAAAGACCACCCCCATAATTTAATTACCTCCCCCTAGGTCTCTCCCATAACACGTGGGAATTCTGGGAGATACAATTCAGATTGAGATTTTGGTGGGAACACAGGTAAACCATGTTATTCCACCCCTGGCCCATCCAGATCTCATATTCTCACATTTCAACACCAATCATGTCTTCCCAACAGTCCCCTAAAGTCTTAACTCATTTCAGCAATAACCCAAAAACCCAAAGTCCAAAGTCTCACCTAAGACAAGGCAAGTCCCTTCTACCTATGAGCCTGTAAAATCAAAAGCAAGCTAGTCACTTCCTAGATACAATGGGGGGCATGAGTATTTGGTAAATACAGCTGTTCCAAATGGGATAAATTGGCCAAAACAAAGGGGGCCCATGCAAGTCTGAAATCCAGTGGGGCAGTGAAATCTTAAAGCTCCAAAATGATCTCCTTTGATGCCATGTCTTGCATCTGGGTCACACTAATGCAAAAGGTGGTTTCCCATGGTCTTGGGCAGCTCCACTCCTGTGGCTTTGCAGGGTACAGCCTCCTTCCTGGCTGCTTTCACAGGCTGGCACTCAGTGTCTGTGTTTTTCCAGGGGCATGGTACAATCTGCCAGTGGATCTACCATTTTGGGGTCTGGAGGACAATGACCCTCTTCTCACAGCTCCACTTGGCAGTGCCCTAGTAGGGACTCTGTATGGGGGCTCCAATTCCACATTTCCCTTCTGCACTGCCCTAGCAAAAGTTCTCCATGAGTGCTGTCCTTCCCATGTAGCAAACTTTTGCCTGACGATCCTGGCATTTCCATACATCTTCTGAAATCTAGATGGAGGTTCTCAAATCTCAATTATTGACTTCTGTGCACCCACAGGCTCCACACCACATGGAAGCTGCCAAGGCTTGGGGCTTCCACCCTCTAAAGCCACAGCCCGAGCTCTACATTGTCCCCTTTCGGCCAAAGCTGGAGTGGCTGGGACACAAGACACCAGGTCCCTAGGCTGCACACAATACAGGGACCCTGGGCCCAGCCCACACAACCACTTTTTCCTTCTGGGCCTCTGGGCCTGTGATAGGAGGGGCTACTGGGAAGCTCTCTGACATGGCCTGGAGACATTTTTCCCAAGGTCTTGGGGATTAACATAAGGCTCCTTGCTATTTATGCAAATTTTAAATTTCTACAGCTGGTTTGAATTTCTCCTCAAAAAATGGGTTTTTCTTTTCTACTGCATTGTTAGGCTGCAAATTTCCTAAACTTTTATGCTCCATTTCCCTTTTGAAACAGAATGCTTTTAGCAGCACCCAAGTCACCTTTTGAATGCTTTGCTGCTTAGAAATTTCTTCTGCCAGATAACCTAAATCATCTCTCTCAAAGTTCAAAGTTCCACAAATCTCTAGGGCAGGGGCAAAATGCTGCTAGTCTCTTTGCCAAAACATAACAAGAGTCACTTTTGCTCCAGTTCCTAATAAGTTCCTTATCTCCACTTAAGACCACCTCAGCCTGGACCTTATTGTCCATATCATTATCAGGCTTTTGGTCAAAGCCATTCAACAAGTCTCTAGGGAGTTTCAACTTTCCCACATTTTCCTGTCTTTTCTGAGCCCTCCAAACTGTTCCAACTCCTGCCTGTTACCCAGTTCCAAAGTCACTTCCACATTTTCAGGTATCTTTTCAGCAATGCCCCCCTCTACTGATACCAATTTACTGTATTAGTTTGTTTTCTCACTGCTGATACAGACATACCCAAAATTGAGAATAAAAAGTTTAATTGGACTTACAGTTCCATATGGCTGGGGAGGCCTCAGAATCATGGCAGGAGGCGAAAGGCACTTCTTACATGGTGGCAGCAAAAGAAAAATAAGGAAGAGGCAAAAGTGGAAACCACTGATAATCCCATCAGATCTTGGTGAGACAGATTCACTATCACGAGCATAGCATGGGAAAGACTGACTGCCATGATCCAATTATCCCTTCCTGGGTTCCTCCCATATCATGTGGGAATTCTGGGAGATACAATTCAAGTGGGATTTGGGTGGAGACACAGCCAAACTGTAGCATTCACTTTGACGATTTCAAATTTATATGGGGTCTTCTGTTCTCCCTTGAAGTTTAGAGAAACTTTATTTTAAATCAGAGTTATATAATCGAATTCTGCCTCATCACACTCTTCTCTAAGTATCTCTGACTTTTGTACTATAGCTTTTGAAACTCAAAAGCCAAGACTTGACATCTTTGTTCTCTAGTTCTACAAGGACAACTCCCACTGAGCACAATGTGGCCCTCTGTCTAATGACTTCAAAGCAGAAAGGGAATATGGGATAATAGAAAGTGATGGGTAGATGAAAGGGGAAAGAGAAATTTATCAGTTAATATCCACCACATAAACTTGTTTTTACCCTTTTCAAATTAAAATATTTGAGACCAGTAGAAAAGCAATAACAGAGATCACAGCATTCCCTACACTACTGCTATTTTTTTTTTAAAGGTGACATTATTGCGCCCTTATCAGTAGAGCATATACTTGGATTAGTTTTTTTATTGTGTCTATATAGTGTGTTAACCATTCACCAGAATCTCCTCCACCCTACTCTTCTGATCAGTAATACACACCAGATGAACAGTAACGAAGAGATAGGGGCATCACCTACAATGGCACAGCCAACAGACCTAATTGATTATACATAGGATTCTCCTAAAAACCCAGATTATAAGCCACAGTCTCTTAGAGTTAAGAACACTATAAAAATTAACAGCAGTCCTACTACAGTGCAGAGATGCATGCCAATTTTTCTTGGGCTTTCTTCTTTATGTTGTATTTGTGGCATAGGCTAAAACCACAGGGTTAGTAGGGATCAAGAGATCAAACAGGAGATGCCCTACATGCTCAAATAGAAGAGAAGTCTTTCCTTCAAAGGCTTACAGGAGATTCCACAACCCTCCATAGTAAATTTTTTCAACATTTCTCTGACAGAAAATGTATTCATTAAAAAGAAGTCATGCAGCTGCTGAACAAGTTTTGACTGTTATTTTCTAAACCATGGTGATAGAAACAGTAATCACTGTGGCTTTCGGGGGAAACCTTAACACATCCGAAGGTCATTCCTGAAGCTTTCAAAGAGGCCAGTATATAAAACAAAACAAAACTGACAATGACAAAAATGATGAAACGGGCATTTTAAACATTTTAACATTTGCGAAGCTAATATTGAGGTTTTAGGTTATAAAACAGACTACTTAGGAGGAAAGACCTGGAGAAGGATAAATCTCTCCCATGATTAAATACATTTATTAAGTGTATAACAGTATGCAGTGTTACATTAGTTGCTGTGCAAAAAGTTCAGGTATTATTTTTTATATCAGACAGCTTTTTTTGTATAGCAAACTATTAATGAATACTCCAAAACTAGTGGCTTAAAAGAGCAAGCACTTATTCGTTCTTGAAGTTCTGAGAGTTGGCTGGGTGTCCTTCTGGTCACTGCCAAACAGCTCAAGGCTCACTCACATTTCTGGCACTTAGCAGGCTGACTGGTCTGAGGTGGATTTACTATGTGTGGCAGTTGGCCCAAGGTTAGTTGGAGAAATGGCCATGATCTCTCATTATTCAGCAAGCTAGCTGGGGCTCATTATCTTGGTGATGAAAGGATTTCCAGCATCAGGAGAGGCCAGTCCCCTATGCACAAGAACTATTCCAGCTTCTGCATGCATCCCACTTGCTAATGTTTCATTGGTCAAAGTAAGTCATGCTGTATTTAAACCTCTCACAGAGGTATAAACAAAATATTCCTGGGGCAAAAAGGTTGAAATCCTAACTATGGTTCAGATAAAAACTCAGATTGGGTATCGGGTATCTATTTTGGTCCCAAGGGGGAAGGAGTATAAAAGGAGTATATCTCTTGACTATAAAAGGCATGTGTAGAGAGATTAGAGAAATTTGTGGCCATGTTATAATCGCCACTTCATGCATCTTTGTCTACAGTTAAGATGAGGCAATCAGCTGTATGTGAGTTGAAAAGAAGGTCAAAAGCAAAGGTTACTCTAGGAGACTTTTACATAGCTTCTTTTGCTATTGCTACTGAACAGAAGGTATACAAATCCTGAGGATTTACAATTAGATGTAAAATGAATACACTTGTGTAACTAACTAACACTTTTATGTCTGGAAAGAGAATATTACCAACATCCAGTAATTTTTCCCCAACATGTATCCCTTCTTCAACAATACTCAACTCTCCTTCTCAAAGGTAACCGCTATTCTGACTCAATAAGTTTTGCCTGTTTTACAACTTTGTATAGATGGGATCATATAATGTGCATTTCTTTGTCTGGCTTTTGTATTCAGCATTTATGCTTGTTAAATGCATCCATGTTGTTCAATGTCACTGTGGTTTTATCATTTTCATCACTGTATAGTATTCCATTGCATGAATATAACACAAATTTCAATGTTTGGGTTATTTCAAATTTTGGCTGTTGTGCATGTCTTTTGTTGTACCTGTGCGCACATTTTTATTGGATACCTAAGAGTAAAATTGCTGAATCAGGTCAGGTGCGGTGGCTCACACCTGTAATCCCAGAACTTTTGGAGGCTGATGTAGGTGAATCACGAGGTCAGGAGTTTGAGGCCAGCCTGGCCAACATGGTGAAACCCTGTCTCTACAAAAAATACAAAAATTAGCCAGGCATGATGGCAGATGCCTGTAATCCCAGCTACTCAGGAGGCTGAGGCAGAAGAGTCGTTTGAACACAGGAGGTGGAGGGTGCAGTGAGCCAAGATCACGCTACTGCACTCCAGCCTGGGTAACAGAGCAATATTCTAAAAATTAAAAAAAAAAATTGCTGACTCATAGGAAACATGTATGTTCAAATTTAGCTAACACTATGCAACAATTTTCTTCTTATTATTTTATTCTAAAAAACATCAGGCTATAAACCATTCTTAGTGTTCACTGGTTTGTGAACACTGAGCATAGAAATAGCCACTTTCTCTTTGCCCAGATATTACAGACACAGCAGAGCAACTCCATCCATGGTGCTTGCAAGTCCAGGATGGCATCTGCGGGACAGTGCAACAATTTTCTTTAACACACTTTCATGCATACATTTTACCTTCATTTTGGTGTCCTAGGTTTTATTTAAGCTAATGTATTTTTGCCTTCCTTCTTCTCCTGCTTTACCATAAAATGCTTATATTTGGATTTCAATTCAATTAAGAGTTCACCCTGCATTTAAAATTTCATAAAAGCTCAAGAATCCAAAGTGTATCAAATCATTCTGCTGAGGATTCAAGCAAAATAACTGTTCCCCCATTCATTTATCAAATGCTTATTGAACACTTATAAGCAATTTTTTTAATTGGACCTAGGGATATAAAGAAATGTAAAATTCAACTTCCAGTCTCTGAGAAGTATCTACAGTAGTTGGTGACTCTTTCATCAGTAGCAGTCTGCCCCTTTCCCGTGCCTTCCTGTCCTCCTGTCACTTTCACAATAGTTGCCCGCAGCATATGTAAGTAATGCATAGCAGGCTGACAGCTGTAAATGGGATTGTTCACGCTACTGTAGACAGCATCTTTCATTTACCACAAACAATTTTCTCTTCTCTCCTTTACCTCTTTGGATAACTATCCATGAGTTTAGTCTTTTTCTTTTCTGGACAAAAAATGATATTAAAGACAAGAGCAAAATTGTTCTAGAAACTTGAGGAATGGTGGTAATATTCATTTTTCACATTTTTTCAAGAGTCTGTATATATTTGTGTATAATGGGATTTTCAGACTACATTTATATTGTGTAAAAAGATTGAAAATGTTCACAATGTTCTTGCTGTTCAGCATTTCATATTGTAAAATGATCTGCGGACTACGTTGGTTGTTAAGGTAATGTGCTCAAGAATCTTTGTGGCTTAAAGGAGGTATTACAACTCCCCAAATAGCTACGGTTAGTCCTTCTCACTGGTAATATAAAACCAATTTTTGTTTGTGAATTGAATTGTTGCACCTGTGCAGCGCATTTCAAAGCCCAGAAAGGGTGCTGTTAAAGGAGAGATTCTCTGTAATTTATAAAAATGGAGCACTAATTTCTAGTAAAATAATTAACCTCATCTAAAAATCTCCCATTTAGATGTTTCCATAAAGTATTAAGAGACACCCAAAGGTCCCTTATTGCATTTTTTTTTCATCAGTAGCTTTACTGAATCTGTACTTATTTCCATCAATAGCTAAAAGAAAGAGCTGCAAGCAAAAGTATAGTATGGTGGGAATAGCTGCTTGTACCAAATGATTCAAACTATTCATCAGCAGGAAAATCCTTAAATTAATACAGATACTTTTAGTGCATGTGGTACAAATCCAAATCAAAGTAGCTTAAGTAGAAAGAGAATTCATTGGCTCATATAACTGGGAGGCTAACTTCAGCCAGAACTCAATTCAAGGACTCACAAAATTGTTTGGACTTTGCTCCTCTCCCTGGGCTCTGCTTCCTTTTGAGCTGTACTAATCTTCTCCTACTGTAGACTACCTTTTTCCATGGGTCAGTGAATGCTCCATTCCAGTAAACATTCTTCCTGCTCTGCTATGCCCTTAGACATGGCCATGTATTTCATGGCCAAATAGAAAAACTAGGAGAGAACTCCTTGTGGCCCAGCTTAGGTCATATGCTCTCTCCGAACCAATTACAGTGCCCAGGGGAATGGAGTACTAGGTGTAGCCAGGCCAGGAAGTTACTTTGTTGGCAGTTTCACTAGACTCATTTCATCAGAGAGAGGAAAAATCCTCAGACAAAAAGCAGCAAATGTTCAGTACAGCTCTCACAGGGGCTTCACATATATTGGTCACAAAAATAGTTTTGGGGCAGGGAAGATCTATGATTAAGCAAAACAGGGTGCTATATAAAGAATGGAAATCACAATGACTTCTAATTGCAGTAGATTCAATCTCATTTGCCCAATCTTTTAGGTATCTCAATGCATGAAATTACTGAATAAACAACTAGCTAATTCACTTTCACAACCACTTGACTGTCACTGAAGTGTCTGATCAAAAATTAAGGTGTTAGCTCTGTGAGGTGGTATATGGCTGCAGTCCTAGCTACTTGGGAGGCTGAGGTGGGGGGCATCACTCGAGCCCAGGAGTTTGAGACCAGCCTGAGCAACATAGCAAAACCCTGTCTCTAAAAATAAAAAGATGGCTTTTAAAAAAAAAAAAAAAAAAAAAAAAAGCAGATTAAGGTGCCTGCAAGAGTGAACCTTCTACTCTTGGGGTGATGATGTGTCAATGTAGGTTTGTCAATTGTAACAAATGCACTCCCCTAGTGGGGGTTGTTGATAATGGGAAGGCTATGCACAGAGGGTACCTGGGAAATCTGTACCTTTTGCTCATTACTGCTGCAAACCTAAAATTGCTTTAAAAAATGAAGTCTACTAAAACATTAAAAAAACACATACATAAAAAATGGTATTAGATAACTTAATTATCTGACATAGCATTAAAAATAATTTAATAGTCGGCTGGGCACTGTGGCTTATGCCTGTAATTTCAGCACTTTGTGAGGCCGAGGTGGGTGGATCACAAGGTAAAGAGATGGACACCATCCTAGCCAACATGGTAAAACCTCTTCTCTACTAAAAATACAAAAATTAGCTGGGTGTGGTGGGGCGTGCCTGTAGTCCCAGCTACGCGGGAGGATGAGGCAGGAGAATCACTGGAAATGGGAGGCAGAGGTTGCTGTGAGCTGAAATCATGCCACTGCATTCCAGCCTGGCAACAGAGCGAGGCTCCATCTCAAAGAAATTATGTCCTTTGTCGCAACATGGATGCAGCTAGTGTCTAGTATCTTAAGCAGATAACAGGAACAGAAAGCCAAATACCATATGTCTCATTTAAAAGTGGGAGCAAATATGGACATAAACATGAGAACAGTAGACACTATGGACCACTAGAGAGGGGAGGGTTGGATGGGGATGGGGCATGAGTCAAAAAACTACCTATTAGGTTCTAGCTCATTACCAGGGTGTGATATACCTGTGTAACAATCCTACACATGTATTCCTGTATCTAAAATGAAAGTTGGAAGCTGAGCACGGTGGCTCACGCCTGTAATCTGAGCACGTTGGGAGGCCGGGGCAGGCAGATGGTGAGGTCAGGAGTTTGAGACTAGCCTAGCCAACATGGTGAAGCACTGTCTCTACTAAAAATACAAAAATTTAGAGAGGCATGGTGGCAGATGCCTGTAATCTCAGCTACCCATGAGGCTGAGGCAGGAGAATTGCAAGAACCCAGGAGGTGGAGGTTGCAGTGAGCCAAGATCATGCCACTGCACTCCAGCCTGGGTGACAGAGCAAGGCTCTGTCTCAAAAAAATAAAATAAAAGCTGAAATTAATAAAAACGATAAATGACGAAAATAATTTCAATGCACAATGCATTAAGTACTGATTAAAAGGCCTTTTAACACATGGGGTTTGAATTGCATGCTTTAAGAGAGTAGCAAGGTCGATGTGCTGAGTTTTGAAAGATTTGGATAGGCAAACAGAAAATGCTATTTCAAGTGAAGGGTACACTGGAGGCAGACATCCAGAGATAAGAAAGAACAGTGTCTTTTCACGACAGTAAATAACCAGCCCTGTCCAGCAGGGTTTGTGCTGCAAGGCAATCAGCAAAAAACATCTTCACTTGTCAAGTGGGATCATGTGGATGACAGAGTCCTGTCTCTGCCACATCTTGGCTGGGTAAACACCAGTGTGCAAGCTGTAAAACTGGGAAATCTCTTACCTTACAGTTGTTCCTGTAAAAATTAGACACTGACATGCCTGTCACATCGTCGTGCTTAAAGGATGGCAGCTCCTACAGCAAACATTAAGGAAAGACAGGGTGAACTTAAAAAAAAATAAAATAAAATAAAATAAAGTAAGAGGGTGGAAATTTATATTTATCCTATAGGCTGGAAGAGTCACTGCTTCAACATATAAGGCTGTGACAGGATGAAAATAATACTTACGATTAATCTGATTCTAGGTGGATGATACGTAAGTGGTCACTGCATTATTCTCTCAGCTTTTCTGAATGGCTAACATTTTTCAAAGTATACGTTTTTATTTTTTTACAAGTTGATTATTTTCTGCTTCCTCCTGCAATCTTTTAGGCTCAACTGAGAACAGGTCTCTGTTGCTCATGTCTGTGTTCTCAGCAACTAGCAGAGTACCTGACACACCGCAGATGACCAATAAACTACTGTTTAACAGTTCAAACAGAAAAGAGAAAGTAAAAAGGGCCAGAACTATGGTGACAGCAGTTCGTGTGGGAAGATACAGATACATGCCAAAGTTTTTCCAAAGAAATTTGGTGATTTGGACATAGAATAGCAATAAAAACTCAGGTGATGGGAGATTGCTGGAACCAAGTGCAGGACATTAGAAAATATGCAGATTTGAGGAAAAATGAATCGTATTTTTCATCCCTGGATTACCGGGAGGAAGTAGGCCAATTTAGTGCAGAACTAAAACTTGACAAAAGTTTTACAGCAATTTAGCTAGTGGGGATTGTTGAGGTTAGCAAAGTAAAAAGTTTTTCCAGAAAGTTGAAGGACCTTATCCTCCCACTCTATGAGAAGCAGAAACTGAAAAATGACCTTCTTTGTATTACAAACAGTGCCATTCCAAAATTAAGTAATAGTTTTTAAGAGTCTAGAGTGGAGTCACAAATTAGCTACAGTAGTTTACCTGTAGATTATTTTGTTTGGACAGCTTAATTCTGGCCTGTTTAATAATTGTCAACATTTAAAAATCAGAAGCAAGTAAAAATTCTGATTCTTTTATTCTTTCAAATATCAGGCAGATGGTCAACCTTGTCTTCATTTTTACAGGTAGAATTGGATAAAGCTGAGTAAATGCTGCTGCTCTAAATGACTCCGATTCACTACCCAATTTGTCTCATTTTTGATACTCACCTGGCCCTTGTAGGTACTGGAGTTTGCAAATCCTGGTCTAGTGGCATTGTGACAGCTCTAATGACAATGGTAAGAATAAAATCAGTAAGAGCAATAATAGCAGACTGAGCAC